ACTCAAACAGGGAGAATAGTTGTTGTCGGGTGTTGGTGAATGCTGGTGTGTCACCCAAAATATCGTGGAATGTCACCTCTGACACACATGTCATAGGTTCACCATCACTGCCCCAGATAGAACATTGGTTCAGAGCAGAGGTTACGGATTTAAATCTCACGGTAGGCATCTGTTCAGACACATTACGGAATAAATTCACCAGTGCTTTGCCTCACATCTTTTTCTTCAAAATAGGTTTTCTAGAAACTTGAATTCACAGGGTTTTTTTTTGTGAATTTGGGAGACTCTGCAGGTAACAAGAGGCTCTATTCTGTAGAAAACTGAACATGATACCGTATTTGTGAAGTTGGGCTTAAAGAACAAACTGGGTGTGTTGCAGTTGTATTGGCCTACCTACTGCACAGCTTTATCCCTGCTAAAACTATTGAACCTTACTGGTATTGGAGTCTCCTAGACTGTTGACAGTAGGGAATTTCAGTTTGTCTTCTCTGGAGTAGCATCCGCCTTTCAGGGTTGTCCAGCCTCCACAAGAAGACTAGAACGAAGCTTTATTGAGATAGACTATATTAACAAAACCTTGCAAGTCTGATTATGTTTTTCTTCTCCTCCCTCTTATACCCCAGTGAGTCAGGGAGGAGCCAGCCTGAGTCTTTTCAGTCCTTCAGGTGGAGCTGGCTCACAGTCTGGAGTTCCTCTTGGACACACAGCTCCTTTCCTTTCCTCCATCAAATAGCTTCTGCCAGGTTCCAGGGACTTGCGTATGAGAACAAAATTAATTCAGCTTAGAGGTTTCTTTGAGAGAAGAGATCATACAGAGTGTGATGGCTCTCACTGCATCCCAGAGGGGCAGCAAGAGAGTTGTGTATCCCAGCATTTCTTAAATAGCAACTGACAGGGATGCTAGGCAAGTAAGGAAGAAGAAGAGATAAATAAATGAATCTCCTATATTTATCTTATGTTAATTTTCCAGAAACCCATGCAGTGAAGTTAACCTTTGAATCTCTGACTTTACGTTCAGAACTCTTTTCTTCCTCTAGTGTAAAGGAAATAATCTCTCTTGCAAAGAGATTATATCACTTCGAACATCTCCTCACAGTTCTGCAATGTTGTTTTAGAACTTTTCTGGAGACAAAAACAGTTTCAAGTAAAGTTTCAAAAGAGGCTCCATTGTCTGCCAAAGATGAATATTCTTGGAGTGTAAAAGCAATTCTGATGCAATTTGTTTGTTTGTTTGTTTTTAGAAACCTCATATTAAAAACATAAACAAGTCACCAGTTAATGTTTTTATTAATGCAATACATTATTATTATTATTTAAAGAAAAGCTTTGAAACTGAGGCTTAAGAAATTTCTCATCAACAATAAACACATTTCGATGGGAAGCATATGCCTGTCTGGAATAAAATATTAAAAGTATTATGTAGAGTGGTGGGAGTTTATGCTGTGCATTAGAATAAAAGCATCTACTTCACTGATGGCAAAATAATCTAATTGTCTGCAGTACTTTTCGTTTCTGTGCATTATTGTACTCTAAGACAGCCCCTTCTATTTCCCTGCTTCAGATGACTATTTTTGCGCTTCTCTTTAAATTTTGGCCTAAATTTTGTGAATTTCGAGGCAATTTGATTGATGAGACTATTTTGCCTGTTCTGGAAAGAGAGAAGAGGATACAGAAATTAAAAAAAGCAAGAGAATCAGAAGAGAAGGTGAGAAGAGCTGCTAAATGGCAACGTGAATAACTCAAAATAAGATAAACTCTCAAAATAGTGCAGCTATTTTGTACCTGATCCAAATCCTGCAGAAGTGAAATGAAACACACCAATGTCCACATTACAAATGGCATTTCCCCTATTTATGAATACTCATTTATTATATTTGATTTCAGGCCCTGTAGGAGTTTAAGACAGACGGCAATACTTTAAAATAAAACATACTTTGAAAGATTGCTGAACTGTAATATCCTAGATGAAAACACCTTTTGATGCCAGCTCTCCATAAACCAGCTTTCTCCAAACATGTGCTCTTAAGATGTATTGGAATACAATTCACATCATTCTCAGCAACACTATGTTGTAATCCCGTTTGCACTGGGGAAAGCTGCTTTAAGAATTCTGTGAATCCTCCCAAGAAAAGGAATTCTATATTTGCAGAGTTGCTAAATACTGTATGTATATGATCCAGTCAACAAAATGTTATTCAAATGTTTTTAGACAAGTGACCCCACCCCAAAGGTTAGCAGACCAACTGGAAGGGGCAAGAGATAGGTAGATCACAGCCCATAAAAAAATGTAAAACCTCCACTCTTAATAGAAGGGAAGCCAGAAGAGAACAGAGCTTCACACCATAATAGAAACTCTAACTGCCACCTTTGTGGAAAAATACTGAAGTGGGGAGGTGAAGCTACTCACTTTCCTCCACAACACTCAACAGGAAGCAGCATCTAAGGTGCAGATACCAACTATGAACAAGGGGGAGGGTGTTAAGTGATGATGGAAGTGAATGTTGTTTGGTTCCCTCAGCCAGTCTGAGAAGTGATATGTCCCCTATTTGGGTGCGGCAAGCTACATCTTCTCTTACATTAGAGAAACAGCATGTCTTTTGACATTCTGTTTCTGAGCTCAATGTTTCTCCCCAGTGCTTGTCATGGAGGGCAAAGCTGAGGGTCATCACCTGAGGAAAAAACCTCAGTACAGGTAGTCCTTGCTTACCAACCACTCATTCAGTGACCATTTCAATTTACAGTGACGCTGAAAATAGAGACAACTGGTCCTTCTGTTTGCAGCTGTTGCAGTGCCCCGTGAGGTCACATGATCACAATTTGGTTTCTTGGCCACTGGTGCGCATTTAGGACAGTTGCAGAATCCTGTAGTCACGTGATCGTCATTTGCAACCTTCCCTGCCAATTTCCAACAAGCAAAGTCAATGGGGAAACCAGCAGGAAGTCGCAAGTCACGATCACTCGAAATTGTGCTTAACTGTGCATAATTCGCTTAACAACCGCAACCGGAACTAACATCATAAGTCAGCATGGTCATGTGATATGCTTAACAACCATGCCACTTAGTGACAGAGTTGCCAGTGCCTATTGCAATTGGTAAGTGAGGACTACCTGTAGATCTTGCTTGAGCCAGAAGTTGAGGGGAACTCAAAGAAAGAGGTGTGGGATCCTATAGAAATCCCTCATACAACTGAGTAACTGGAAGAATCCATGATAGTCCCAGTGCAAGCCAAGGCTAGAGCCTCACAGGGATCTTGCCTGGATTCCTTGATAATCTTTCTAATGACACCCCATATTTTCTTCCTTTATTTCCAATTCTTTCAGAAATCTTTCTTGATAGAAATTTCCTTATAAGAGAAGGAGTTTATCCAGAAGAAGTCTGACTTGTTCCAAATCTTGATACAAAACAAAAACCAAACCCAGAAAGAGATATAAAGTGGAATCTCAAAAATACACTGAACTATGACATTCCAATAGCTTAATTTATTTTATCTCAAGGATAATCAAATTTTTTTTTTCATTGCTAGACACAAAGGAAGAAATCTTCCATTCCTGTGAAAATAAGTTCACCTACTGATTCAAACTTGAGTATAAATGAATTTTCACCAGCGCCTAGCTTCTCTGGAATGGGCCGAGAGGTGATTGAATTATGTACTATCGATCTTTCCTGAAACAAAATGTGGTAATCCAGTATGATTCAGTGGATTTAGAAAATTGGCTACAACGGATTGAAAGCAGTTTCTGATGTGTTACCAATTTCATTTTAAGAAATTGATACAGTTTAATTATAGGGAAATGAATTTGCTGGGACTCATTAGGATCTCAAAAGGTTTTTGGAAAAGGGGGCCAAAGAGTAGACACGTCTGAAATTTTGAAAGCATGTTGAGGATGTTTACATGAATGGTTCTCATGACAGGGACTGAATATTGCTAAACAAGAGTGGAAGCTTTTTTAAAAAATGTAGTTTAAACATGTTGAATGAACCCTAGTTACTTTTACTAATAAAAAAAAAACACCCTTTTGTAAAATTGCAGAACTGAACTGAGGAAAGGCCTGCTGTCTCTTGAATGTTGTGACAATACTTATGAAAAGAGACAAATAGCACTTTTAAAGATCTGAATGTACGTCTGCTGCTGACATATCCAAGCCCTAAGTGCGGATTAATTCAGCATCTTAACCACTCCAGGCAGGATATAAATCCAAATAATTAAAAGTACTGGAATCAATCATTTGATATGAAATTCAGATATTCCACAACTACCTTAGAGAAAATTGGCTCTTCGACCCATTTTAGTTTGACATTCCGTTGTCAAGTAACTATGGACTTGAGCCAAGAATCAAGAGGAAATGAGCAGAACATCCATCTCCTAAGCAAATTCCACTGAAATGGCCCCTATTCCTTTCAGTGGGGTTTGATTAAGAGAACACTGTAGTGGAATTGTGACATGGTTTATGCTGTTTAACTGCCTGATTATATGTATACGTGTGAGTGGCCTTTTTCATTTCTGTTTCATTTGTATGACAGTAAGGACCAAAGTAGGTTGAAGAATCTAGATGGGTATAATGCAGTGTTTTTCAAACTTGGCAACTTTAAGACGGCTAGGGAATTCTAGGAATTGACATCCACACATCTTAAAGTTGCCAGTTTGAAAAACACTGGTATAATACCTGGAATGGAAACCCTCATTTCTTATTATAAGTGGTATTAAGAAGCCACATGAATTATTATGTTGCCACACTCATAAATAGTGCCATAATAATCTTATTATTAGCCTCTTTTATTATAATTTCAGTTTTCTGAAGGCAAGAACTGTTAACATTATCTTAGAGTGTTAAAAAGGATTGCCCATTTATGGGCACACCATCATACTCACCTAACCTGTTTGTTTGCTTGACTTTTTAAATGGCCTTGTTGCAGCGTTTCTGGTCTTATTCAAAGTATATAGAAGCTCTTCAGCAAGAAAGGGTCCTCCTGCAGATTCAAGAGGATTTAGAGAAAAAATCAGTAGCGTCCTCTGCTTACTCAGGTCAGCTTTTAATCAGAGTGAAAGATTTTTATGAGTCCATTTCAATTGATTTTCTTAGTAACTATATATGAAGCACCAACTTGATATTATATTCTTTGAAGACTGTGAGTTTTATTATGATTTTCAAGTTTTTCTTTTCTTTTTTTCTTTTCTTTGGAATTCAGGTCTCTCATCCTTCCTCGCTCTGAAGAGTGATGCGGTAGTGAGCTCCGAAAAACCTGTTCTCTCAGCAAACTTCAACACAGCTTTCGTGAAGCAACGTTCATTCCCACCTAAAGATAATGCCAGGATGTCTCAAGGGGGTCAGTTAATTCTCCATGTTGATAGCGTATGTTGTTTCATCAGATGCTCAGTTTGTATTCCTAATGAAATGCCTTGCTGATTCAATCCACAAGGGGCATGCAAATACAAGCAGCACATATTCCTTGATGTGCCAGTAGCTTTTTCAGCACTTCATGCTTGGTGTTCCTTCCCCTGATGCCTACATAAGCTGCCACAGTTGTCTTTCCAAGCTGGCAGTGGAAGCTTTTCATTAGCTTGCCTAGAAACATTCTTGTTCCTTCCATCTGTGCTCTGACTTCACACTGTGGTCATTCTACCTGCAATGGGCAAATGCTCCTCCTGCAATGCTTGCTTCCTCTCCCTCTTGCTTTGCCTTAGTCCATTTTCAAAAGAATTGGTGACACTGGTATTTTTAACTTAATTTATAGCTCACCATCTGCACAGTGATGTCATATAAACACAGGAGGATTCTAGTTCACAAATATGAATACTCTTGCCCTCTTAAGAGTTGTCCCACCAAACAGTAAGCTTTTCAGGCCCCAGTGGTTTCAGTGGGAAATACTTAAGCATGTTGTTAATATGTTTACTGAACCTGTTTTTTAGACTTGATCTATTATGCCCACTACTTGTAACTAAATCTCAGCAAACACAGAGGGCTGGAAATTGTGGGAGTTGTAGCCCTGACACATGTGGAAAGCACTGGGTTGGGGGGATCTTTCCATGTTTCCTTGGGAGCAAGTTCTGTTGAACAATTTTATACTTATTTGCAGTGATGATGCAGAGAATCAGGCATACGTAGAAAGCTAGTTTTCTAGTGCCAAAGGTACTATGCTCTGAGAAAGCAGATAGTATTTTTCTTTGAACTAGTGTGTATATATACGTGGCTGGATAGTGTAGTGGTTAGAACACCACCTTTGATGCAGGAAACCAGGGGTTCAAATCCCTGCTGGTACCTACCTTACCAGGAGGGGGCCTTGGGCAAAGCCCCCCTAAAGCTTCACCTGCC